CTGCGCCCGCGCCGCCGCACGCTCCCGCCTTCCTGCCTTCCCTCCTCCCCTCCCTCCTCTCTCCTTCCCGCCCCTCGTTTCTGGGCTGGGGGCGATCGGGCGCCCCCTCCCGGTGCTGTCTCTGGCGCCGCGCCCCCTGCTGGCCGCCGCGTTGCGCCTCCTGGGGTCCTGGCGCGGTGGCAATGGGGGCGCACAGGCACAGGCCCAGGGGCCTTCGCGGTCGGTGGGCACCGGGTTCCCCAGATGCTGCCAGGCCGCGGGAGGGTGAGACTCGCGGAAGGTGAAGAGAGGCTGCTGTGTGTCTAACAAGATGGGGAAAGTTGGCAGCAGGAGGGGTGGGGAAGGAGGGTCTTCGGCTCCCGAGCCAGGCTTCTCACTGTAAGCTCTGCCTAACAGGACTGCCCAAGTCTTCTTGGGGCGCTGGTTAAAAACTCAGACTCCTAGGCCTTGCCCCAGACCCACCGAATGAGAATCTCCGAAGGGAAGGGGCCAGGGAGTCCGAATTTGAAGTCATTCTTGGTTGATTCTAATGTACACTCCTTGGAGACGGCCTGTGGAGGTCAGGGGAGGGGAGGGCCCTGATGATAATGCTTGGGGGGTGAGCCCAGAAACTATGTGCAAGATTGTGTGTGTGTGGTGGGCGATGACTTTTATGGAGAAAGTCTGTGGCTTCTGCCATCTCTCAAAGGGTGTGGACCATCAAGGTGTTGTCTTCTGTTTTCAGGGTCACATCTCTGGAGAAGGGTCCTGGGGTCATTCCTGGTATAAAAAGGCAGATCCATACTTGTAAGTAGGACTAATTACACAATCCTCCTTCCCATCCCTTCCTGCACCTCTGCCAGGCCTGGCCAGTAAAGGCTCAGACCCCCTTGGCTCTAATGGTACTTGGAAAGCCAACTGTAGTCCTGCCAGAAAGAAGGCTAAGGTACTTGGGGGAATCTTCCCTGTCCAAGACCTCAAACCACTGTGGGAAGCCTTGATCTTGGTCGCTTGCTGAGGGAGGGGTAGCAATTGGGTGTGCTTGCCTCTGACCCAGGCCCTGGGTGCTGCTTTAGGGGAAAAGCACAGTGGACTGCAGGAATAGGAGAGGCAGATCTTAAACCATAGTGGCTGGAGCCCACCATGGCCTGAAGGAGCATCAGGCTTCAGAAGCTCCTTCCTGTGTTACAGAGCTAAACTCCAGGAGCTAAACTCTGGTTCGAGAATTGGGAAGGCAAGATGAAGGAGTTACAGAAACTCTAGGTGTTTCACAAAGGATAGTCCCACTGGTCACCCTCAGGTAGCTGGCAGAGAATACCCAGTCTTGGGCCCTCTCTGGTGGTAGAATGTTTAAAACGCAGCACTATGAAGCTATATGCAGCCACTGCAGCATGAGTTCGATCCCTGGCCAGGGAGTGACCCACATGGCACAGCAGACCTCTCCTGTCTCACCAGCTGCTCCCCTCAGCATGTATTTCAGTCAAGCTGCCTGTTTTGCTCCTCACCTTGTCTCTGATGAATCCTTTCACCATTCCATACCTCTGGCCTACACCCCAGTTCTTCTATGCATAAGTAGATAAATCTTAAAAAAGAATACCCAGTCTTCCTATAAGCAGCTTCACAGGGCTTAGAACGATACTTTCCAAACTCGCTCCAACACTTTGCATTAGAACACACCTGTTGGCATCTTCAGAGAGCCCAGGCGGGGACACACTTAAGTGTCTCATCTCTAATCTGTAGGCAAGGTAGCCACACAGAAAACTGCCCACCAAGACCCTCACTCCATTTGATGGGCCCCATCAGGGGGAGGCTGGTCACAGCCTGGGCCTGTGGTTGGCTGCCAGTCCCTCCCCTGGGGTTTGGGTGTCATCCCTTTCTTCTTCAGAGACTTGATTCCATGTACCCTCTCCTTGCTGCTTCCCTCCCCATCCCATCCCCATCTCCCTATTTTCTGGCTTGTTCCTCTAGGCAAATCTGTTCACCTTTCTTCCATCTACTTAGAAAGAAAAACCCATGTCTGTCCATCCACTCTGGTTACTGACACCCTCGCCTCTCTCTTTCCTTTCCAGCTAAACGTTTTGGACCTGTCTACTATGTCACACCTTCTTTACTTTCTTCAATTCCTTACCTATTCCAGTTGGGCTTCTGGCCACAGCACATCACTGAAATGCCTCTTGCCAGTGACCTAGTTGCTAAATTTAGTGGCCACTTTCAGTCTTCATCTTACTTGACTAGCAGCGTCTGACTCTCTTGTCTACTTTGTTTTGATGGAAACCCTACTCCCTTAGTTTGTGGGTGCACTGACAGTGTCTTTCTTTCTCCCTTCCATTAGTTGTTGGTGCTGCATAGGGTCTTGCCAAAGACCTCTTTGTAGGCAATGTTGCTTATACTCAGGGCGCTACCCACCACACACAGGCTAATGACTCCAGGTCTCTTCTCAGCTCTTGAGTTAGTAAGCTAACCTGTCACTGACTCATGGCTGTTGGCAGAAGACACTAGCCTCTGGATCGGGGACATAATACTTTGTTACACAGGCACACACAGCACAGAGCATCAGCATTAGCATATTTGCATCAGTTCTCTTTGCCTTGGAATCCTACAGGGCAGCGAGATGGCCCAGATGGATGTACCCATGCACAACGGGTTTCTGTTACAGCCAAGAGACACCAAGCTTGGGGATGTGCTACTGACACAGGGAGCAGTAAGCAAGCTTGGAGACAGTCATCCCTCCAGGTTGCTTACTACAAACACAACACTGAGAGGTAGCTTTTTTTTTTTTAGATCTAAAAAGTGGTCCACGTTTGCCTTTTTGGTACACACCACAAGAAACCCATGGAGGATGACCTCTTCTGACGTGGGCATGTCATATTCAACAAGTAGCATGTTCCTGCCCAGCCTGCCTGCCCCCATCTCTGCTTTCTTTCTGTTAGTCATGCAGGCCGGAAAGCCTGGAGTCGCTTACTGTGTGCTCTGGTTTCTCAGTATCAGCATCTGTCAACACACCATCCAGGTAATGTCTCCCAGGATGGTAGCTCTTGTTTGTGCACATTGTATCCTTTCAACAGTGGTGAGGTTGATTTTGTTGGCACGATTTCACGGATAAGGAGATGGATTCTCAGAGAGGTTACATGCCTTGCCCAAGGTCACACAGTGAAAGGCAGAGCCAGGAGTCACTTAGGTCTGTTCAATTCCAAAGCCCATGTTGTTAATATTACTTTATATCATTGACCCCGCTGTTTAAATATTACATCCCACAACCACTGCCTGTGGAGGATCTGTCATGTTTTAGCCCATCATTACATTATAATAACCTTCTTTCTAACTGTCACCCCACCTCCAGTCTGCCATTTCTAATACATCTTCCATGTATGCACTTGAGAACATTTTAAAAGGAGACTCACGCACACACACACACACCCCAACTCTCCCCTTTTCAGTGATTCTTATCTCTGAGCTAAACATGAATTTGAGGTCCCCCAGGTGCTATACTGTTCTCATGTCCTCCAAGTCATTCATCCCATGTGACACCTCTTCCAGGTTACCATACTTTGTGCTTTTGGCGTACAGAGTTGGCCTCCTCCTTAACAGTTGCCTCGTCACCCCTTCATACTTGGTTTAGATGTCATCTCCTTCAGGAAGGCTTCCATGAATGCCTCCTAGGACCTCCCCCAAGTGAGTCTAATGGAAATGTGTATAACATCTTGTGCCATGTCTGTGTTGCTCCTTTGCACACATTGTTCTTC